TCCATGTTACCCGAAATGCGGACCTGATCCTGTAATACTTTCAACGCCGTTTCCATTGCTACTATGTTATCCGAACTGTAGACCAGGTCCAGTGGTGAAACCAGCAGCTACTCCATTTCCATTATGTTCCCCGAACTGTGTGCCGCAGTCGGCAGTAGCTTCAGTGACGCCGTGCTACGAGAACTGCAGACCTAGCTCAATAAGAGTGGGCAGTTCTACGCAAATTTATCCGTTGCCACAGCAGCCTTGTCCACAGACCTGTCAGCTAGGACAGACTGTGATGACGTCCCCTCCACCACCGATATATATTCCGCCATACCGGAATCCAGTAAGACGATGCCAACTGCAATTTCAAAAATGTTCTGATAAGTCTGATTCGCTACTTTCAACAGTGGCGCCAACTTCAGAAGATGAGAATAACGCCACACATCCAACCACGAAAGAATCAGAGGCCAGTTTATAGACGAAGAGACATGAAATTTCCAGAAATCTAAACTGTAATGGGGCTATTGAAGCAAATATTAGTATTGAACTGTTTGACAGTCCATAGTAAACAGTCTGCTACGGTTCGGCTATTTAACGTGGAGGATCAGTCATTACGCAGTACATAAGAAATGCAGTAAAATATTTAACGTTTGTGACGGCAGTTACCAAAAATCTGGAGAAGCTGTTTGAGAGAAAAACAAACGCATGTCTTGTTGCTTCAGCAGAGAGAAGCAAAAAGCAGTTATGCAGAAAGAGGCACCTACACTTTTAGGTAGAGAAATGACAGCAACATGGACCTGACTGAATTTCGCCGTTGACGAAAATGGTTTTGTTTGATCTGAGAGTCGATCAGCATGAATATTTCAAAGAGTAAATGAGGAAACAAATGACATGAAACGAAACATTCAATTAATCGAAGGGTTGCGATTAAGTTGGCACATAGAAATCAGAAGACGTTACGACCGGGCCAGTCTACAGCTAGATGAAACAGCTTCCGAACCGACCGCTAATACTGACATTAATTTTAGTCATTTACTAGTGGGAAAATAAGAAACAGCGCGAACCGAAACTTAGTAGTTCTATTTAAAAGCAAAGCTGCTTACCCCCTACTTGCACTGGCAGAAAATCCCTGGTTT